ATATGCTCTGTCTAACTTTCCAATTGTCAGGGCAGAATAAAGTTTGATGGGTCTCTGCTTGCTCCTCTCCGAAGAGAATACATGGAGAGCACAGAAACATTAATGGTATCTTATCCTCAGATCGACTGGAGTGCAGTCAGGAGCACAACCACCTTAGATGTGAACAGGATGCCAAAAGGACTGCCCTCTAACTGTGTGTCAGGGCCAAAACCAGAGCTGGTTGTGTATCTCATGTATGCGAGAGAAACTCTGCTTGCGTGGCACATGCCTCCTGCCCTTATGCTTTCCAGTGTGGAAGGGATGGAGGGAAATCTCATTCCCAGGACACAGTCACACAAGCAGCTCTGCATATAAAGGGACAGCCTACCAGAGATGCACAAAAACAGTGTGGCTAACATAGCTCTTAAACGGCGGTGAAAATGAGCAAGTTAGATGAGCTTACAGGCAGTTTTCTCCAGCACAGCTCAGCCACACAACACAGTGAGAGATGAGAAAATCTGTAGCCCACCTGAAACCTAGAAGCCTCAGACATGCATATTTCAGAAGAAGTGTAAAGCTGGGTACTGACCTAGAAGGGTTCTTTCTTGCGGGGAAGAAAGCCCCTGACAAAATGCCAATTTGTTACAGTGAGTGGATAAGATCAGAAAGGAAGTCAGATAGAAACAAAACAGAGCATAAAAAAAAATCCCAAGCCCAGCTTCCTGTTTTAAGGGAGCAAATTTCAGTTCCCCTCCAGCTGGTCTTCCCTGCCCTGGGAAAGCAGTTCTCCTTGCTCCCTCTTGGTGTATCCCATCAGCGTGGAAGGCCACAGGGAAGGATACTGAAGCTCCCTGATGTAGCGCTGTACAGCTTCCAGGCGCTCAGGGATGGGGGTGGACGGCTGGAACGCAGGCACACTCGGTATAGGAATCTGAAATGGGGAGCACAGCATTACTGCCAGCGTCTGAGCCCCTCCAGCTACCTGCTGAACTCGGTGGCAAGGAGCTATGCAGGGCGCGTTACTCTGAAACCAGCCCCTGTGGGCGGCCTCAAGTGGCCACACTTGAACAATCCTCTGCTCTCATACCTGTAACTGGTAAGAAATTGAGAAAGAAGCAACAGCCAAAAGTTGCAAGAGACAGTGCAAATGGGCTGTACATTTAGACAGCATCACAAGGACAGAGAGTCAGAGAGACCAAAGATGGACCTCCCAAGTCACCAGCGCATGGTGCAGCCTCGCAAGCAGAGGACAGAAGTGCTACTCGTGGCACCTCAGCTGAGCTGGCACGGGCTAGGACACCATCCTTGTCCAGTAACACCTGCCTACCTTCAGTGCTGCTTGTTCCGAGTGACGGGGCTGGGGAAGGACTTTTGCGAGTCACCATCAGGCTGCTGTCCCATTCTGAGGCCTTGGCCTTATGGGCGCAGCTGATCTTTCCTCTCTGTTTGCTCCATAGAAGATAACTGCAGCCTTGTCAGGTGCTGACAAAATGTGTCAAAGCAAGGAGAGGGCCCTGTCTGCTCAGCTACAGCAGACAGGCAAGCTAGGTTGGCAGACGACCCCGAGGACACACTCAGTCAACAAATTTAATGGAGAAGACACCGATTTGGAGTGACTGACAGGCTTGGAGAAGCAGCTTCCGTCATAGCTCATGCCTTACACGCACTTCGCTGATAGCAGAGCTGCAGCTCCTCATAGCAGTTTGGTTTGTAACACTTCAGTTCAGACTTCCCCAGGAGATGGGCTATCCCCCCACCAAAGAAAGAGCAAGTCAGACCCAGGCCTTCCCTTGGGCCCTTCCATCTGCTGTGTGTTCACTGCCTCTCTTGGCTCTGGTTTTGCAGCCAGCAGCACTGCTTAGCTACCCATCGCCCTCCCCGTGTAACTCTGCAGCCCCTCATTTCCATCCCCTCTCCTCCAGCCTGGGCAGGCACAAGTGGCCACTGAACCCATGCAGGCATCTGAACCAACTGAAAGCTGAGCCAGCAGCCTGGTTACCTTTTCAGTCAGATCAGTTCCCTGACCCGGTTTGCCACCAGCCACACAGCTTGTGCCAGGATAGCACGGGGCTGGCGACCGCTCGGCTTTGAGGGGTGAGCTCTAAGCATCTTTATGTCTAGCCCCAACCCTTGCAGCACTTCAGCACTGAACAGAGACAGCTAAACTCACTCCCTGTTCATTTTCTCTCCAGCACCTGGTCTTTCTTTTCTTTGCTGGAAAGCAAAGAAGCACCATTGTGCCACCAGCACCTGTTTTCCTAGTACCTCTTGGAGGCGCCAATTACTGTCTCTGCTGCCAGATTTCAGCCCTCTGCTCTGAGTGAGGAGAGATGCCGGCTGCCGCCCTGGCAGGAGGTGGCGCAGGAACAGCAGAAGCAGCCGCAAAACCTGGTTTGTTCAAGCATAGCAGAAGCAGGGAAGGCTCCAGAGAGTAGCGCAGGGATGGAGCCATCTCTGGAACTGTGGGAGCTGAGTCAGTCTGGATGCTGTGAGCTGACACACTGAGTCATAGGAAATCATTTGCAGGCTGCAACAGTGGAAGAGGTAACAAGCAGGACAAGCTATTTAACTTTATTTCATTTCTTCACCCTGGAGACTTTCATGCTGCTTGAGTGGAGATGAGCAGATTAAGCGCATGTTAAGAGCTCAGATGAATAGTTCTGGTTAGTTACTCCTTCCTTTACTAGCACATTCTCCCAGATCTCCTTTTCCTGACAGGACTGCAATACTGGGAGAGTGCAAAGGCAACCAGTTCAGCACGGGACTAGTTAATGCAGAAGAACCTCCTGCACCTCAAGTAATTAAACTGATGAGAGTACAGTGTGCTCTCACTCTCTCTCTTTCTCAGATCTGGGCCTGCAGCCCAGGCTACAGTTTCCCTTGGATCAGGTCTCCAGCATTTTACTGGGGCAATAGGAACAGAAAGGGAAGAATAAGGATGGAAGACCCTGACACACACAGACAGGATGGGAGACCCCAGCTCTTTGTTCTTACCCACCAACATCCAGTGCATATCTCAAAAGGGTTATAAACATTAGCCAGTCTTCACAGACCTGAAGAAAGCAGGGAGGAATTTCTTTGCAACAAAAGGGAGGGAAGTTCAGAGTTTGCTTTCCCTTTAATTACACTGAGAGCTGGAGAAAACTAGGAAGAAAGCCCGGAGTTCCCAGAACACATCCTCCTGCCAGACTTAGCTGCCTGTTTGAACACATCCTTAGTCCCTTATCACTTGCAGGGGGGCATCACACGCCTCCTAGATTCATGCACACCTGGTTAGTGTATAGCAAGCCTACTGGACGGGCAGGCTACGTGCATGCGACTGGGACGCCGCTTTCAGAAAAGGGATCTGCAGGGCAACAGAGATTTCCACATACTAAGTAGGCCACACTGCACAAAAGACTAGAGTGATGGAAGAGAGGCACAGGCACAGGTCCCCTCTTATCCACATCACAGGCCAGGTTTACCAGCAGTTTCCCTTATGGTGCTTATATGCATACGAGCATCTCCCTATTCCCCTTGGGCTAGTAACACTGCACTGACAATAGTTACAGATTAACATATATTCATTCACTAGCATTCATTCACCCAAGAACACCAATCTCAGGCAGTACCTTGAGAAAACTTTCTTTCTCTCCATCCATCTGACCCCATCAGATACAGCTCTTTCCGTTTTCACCGTCATAACTTCCCCACTTTAAAAGCCATCATTTCTTGAGGAGGAAAGTACACACCACTTTGCCTTTCAGTGCATACTTACTCCATGGTCCCAGCCATACCCTGCAAACCTCTACCATGCTACAAACGGTTGTGACAGCAAAGGAAACAACCTACAAGAGGATGGCACTTTCAAGACTAGGAAACAATGCCAATTAACCACATCCTGCAAGCTTGGCAAGGCTCATTTGGTGGACATCCCAAATCTACCAGAAGGAAACCTTGGAAACCTGACGTTTATGAGCTGCCAATACAACAGCAAAAGAGATGGCCCCTACAGCAGATCCATGAACATACTTACAACATGATCACAGCCTTCTGTAGTCATCGTGCTAAGTTAATGGGTAACTCTTGAAAGAGTATTATTTTCCCCAGCACCCAATATTGACCACTCTTCAAGGTAAAAAACACTCTTCAATGGCCCTAAAAGAAGTCTATTCAGCTTCTAGCACACGATGGGTACCTGGCCTTTCGGAAGGGCCAGCCCTGCGCTCATTGCCCTAGTGCTGATCTGTTGCATCAGCCTTTCAGAGAAACTTGATTGCACAGAGCTGTGTGGTACTATAAGCAGCCCTCAAAGATATAAATACATCCCTAGAGGTGAAGAGGACCTAGGGATCATCCTGGCTGCTTTCTGCCACCCAGCGTCCTCTCATCTGTTTGCCTGGAGAGCCTGGGCATGACATCTCCTAGACTGCAGTTTTTAGATTTGGTTCCCAGGTGTGCTGGCAAACATTGAAAAAACAGCCCAGTTTTAACCTGTTACTGTTACAGGAGCTTGTACTGCTTGTATCCCCTAACCAAAACCCTCTGGCTCTAAGACCGTACAAGACAGTTAAATGAGAGCAGCAGAAGTGCTTCATAGCCAGACCAACAACAGACAGTGAACAAAGTATCTCCCTCCCTTTGTACATCACCGCACTCTGAACTTCTTTCTTTCAGTTCCCTTGTCTCTCCTGACCAAATCAGCCTCTTTTGGTCAGGAAATTAAGTACTGCATGTTCCCACTGGTCTGAAACATGCTTTCAGCATGCACCCCAGGCTTAGGATATTGTCAGAAAGGAAGGAAAGCTGAAAGGGAAGAAATGTCTAGTGGTTAGAACAGGGACTGTAATCAGGATTCAAGATTTATCTGGCCTAAACTCTTCCCTGCACAAAGGAACTTACATCACACACTGCCTCCGAGAAGCTCAAGGAAAGCCGTACAGCCTGTCTGTGCTATAGGCACATCTTGCTCACTTGTATTACCTTCCTGTAGAGGCTTTTTTTTTTTGTATTTTAATTTCCTCCGTTTGTACAACTCTCCTAACTGGCCAGCGGAGCGCCACACCAAATGTTTGCAGGCCTTTTGTTCAGGGGATGCCGGCAAAGGGGAAGATCTTTCTCCAGCAGACAAGCAGCACATAGAGACAGCAGCAGTCACAAGAATTCATGTGCAAATGATACAGTACCACGCAAGGCTAAGCAAAATGATCCTTGGTTCCTCTTTCTATACAGTTCTCAGCAGCAGAGCCAGGAATGCATTCCAAAAATCACATCTGGCCCACATGGGCAACAACCTCTGAGTGTGTCAAGTCCTCTTAAACATCTCTAGCATCAAAACAACTTCTCCGTTCTGTGCAAGAATCCCCCTTGGTGTGGGAAATGGACCCCAAACCTCGTTCCTTTCCGCCTCAGCGCCGCCCCCCTCAGCACGGGGACTGCGATGAGTGTCCTCGCGCTCCCGGCAGCCGCCTCTTTGTAGCGGGGACCCTTCCCTCCCCGCGGGCGCCCCG